TCACCTTAAACGAAATTGGGTGGATACATCTCATATTACTAATAAAAGTAGTTTGACCTTGTTTTCGCAAATTGGTAGGAAGACTTGGAGGAATGCACCTAGTCTGGAGTCCATTGTATGCATGATAATTTCCAGTCAGAGAGTAGACGTGGTATATTCCCAGACGCTTCGCCGGCATCGTCAGTGAGTCTTGTCAGTCTTAGCAACACACTACAACTTGTCAGAGAAACTAGTGAAGCCGAAGCTTTGACCAATTGTCTGCTAAACAATTGTGGGATTCCTCCTGTCCTGGGCTATTCTCCAATCCAATCTCATCGTAGCCCCCCTTTCTTATTTAAATGTGGCATAGTTTGTCCTTTTTTAGCGGATTTCATAAAAACTCTCCAAACGCCACGTTGGCTTTCTTACAACCTTAGCTCGCAATCCTCTTCCCATAGATATTATCAAAAACTCCCACTTTCTCCGTAGGATCCGTCTGCTTTCGCCCTGGTTCAAGTATTTCACTCGAGTATGCCACTCCATCTGTGCTCCACGAGACGCTATTTTTTACAATCTGTGTCTGGAAGACTAGCTCGTGGCTAAAGTCCCTGTTTCATTCTCATGGTCAAGCCTTTGCTTCATGGACCGCGTCTATGGTAAAACAGATCTAGTTTCAGCCAATTAGCTCTAGTCTCCGCCACGTCTAGCCTGTTTCTATTTCTACTACCAAGTCTATGACTTCCTATGCCCTAGTCTCTTGTGTGCCAACCCATAAATCTTGTGGTTCAACATTGAACCTATTCAAAGCAAGCAGTACTACATTTCTGGGTTGGCACACAAGAAGCTAGGGCATAGAAAGTCATAGACTTGGTATTAGAGATAAAAACAGGCTATACGCGGCGGAGATTAGAGCTAGTTGGCTGATAATAGATATGTTTTACCATAGACGTGGTCCATGAAGCAAAGGCTTGACCATGAGAATGACGCAGGGGCTTTAGCTACGAGCTAGTCTTCCAGACGTAGAGTATTGAAAATAATGTCTCGTGGAATACAGATAGAGTGACATGGGTCGAGTGAAATACTTGAACCAGGGCGAAAGCAGACGGATTCTACGGAGAAATATGGAGACCTTGATAAGACATATGGGAAGATAATTGCGAGGTAAGTATGTAAGAAAGCCAGCGTGGCGTTTGGAGAGTTCTCATGAAATCCGCTGAAAAATGCACATTATGCCACATTTATATAAGAAAGGAGTGCTACGATGAGATAGGATTGGAGAATAGCCCAGGGCAGGAGGGATCCCACAATTGTTTAGCAGACAATTAGTCAAAGGTTCGGCTTCACTAGTCCCTTTTTACAAGTTATAGTGTGTTATTAAGACTGGTAAGACTCACTGACGATGCCGGCAAAGCGTCTGGGAATGTACCACGTCCACTGTCTGACTGGAAATTATCATGCATACAATGGATTCGAGACCAGGTGTGTTCCTCTAAGTCTTCCTACTAATATGACCAAGTTGCGAAAACAAGGTCAAACTACCCCTATACAACGAAAGAAGATTTCGACCACACAAAAGGCAACACTATCTTGGTCTTCATACCTTCGATTAAGTCTAATAAAACTTACTCGTGACCGTGGGTTCAGACACACGAGTTGGAGTGACAGAAGAATGTAAGGATTGTAGGGCTCCGTCTGAGAAATTCTGGGTAGAAGAAGGCTGACCTGGAAAAGATTGCGAATACATATCAAAATGAATGCCGGAGGCATGTCGGACGGGAGGGGAACCTGAACGTAAAGGACTAGTAGGTGGGGAGAGGGAAAGGAATGGCGAAGAAGGCTGAGAATAGGGCAAAGTGGTGATTTTGTTGCCGATGGGGTCCACCATACAAGTATGCTGGCTGGCAGCTAAAAATAGAGGGAAGAATGTATAAGAATAAATGAATGAATGATAAAGTTATAAAAGTGTAAGATAATACGATAAATATAAATGAAATTTTAATCGAACTTTAAAGCATGTAACTTAGTGCACAAGTTTCTAAAAAAGAGCTTATAAACTGAGATAAGTAATGCAAAATAAATTATTCAACAGCCCAAAGAGTTTAAGTGAAGAAATAATTTAACAAAACAGTTGATTGCTTAACTTCTTACAATATCAGTTGTTGCCTAATATAATAGTTAAGCCACGAACAAGTCTGAATTACGAGATACATGGGCTAGCAAATTCCGAAAGCAAAATTTCCCGTTACTTTTGAAATTATAACTAAAATGTCCGTAAGCAAAAATTATATATATAATATTAAAAAGTTTCGAAGACGTCCGATTCAAGACATCATAGAACGTTTAAGGTAATGTACAGACCGATATTTTAATTACTTTCAATGAAATTATTGATACTTACGGTGGATACTGTTTAATTGGGTGACATTGGGACTAAAACACTGGCTCAATCAAGCGGCTAGCACAAATGTAGTAAGTTCCACGGGAAGGGTCAAAGGTATATAACAAAAGACAAACAAATGAGAAACGAATCAGCTACTTAAATAATTAATGTATCTATCGGATATGCATGTAATTTCTAAAGGTGAGTGAGTTCGGAGGAATTCATCATGTTTAGTCTGTAGTGTTCTCTTGATCGACTGCAAATGAACAAAATCAATTGAATATATGAAGAATAAGATGTTGTGGCCTCTGTTATA